GTTGTTACAGAAAAGAAACAAATCACCTATAAAGGAAAGCCCATCAAAATCACAGCAGACTTCTCAATATGTGCCCTCAAATCAAGGAGAGCTTGGAGTGAAGTATTTCAAGCCCTAAAAGAAAACCCCCAACCCTGATTGAAGTGCCCTGCAAAACTATCTTCAAAATTGATGGAGAAATAAGACACTTTCATGACAGAACACCTGAGGCAATTCATAACACCAAACCAGCACTCTAAATTGTTCTGAAGGATATCTAAAAAGAGGTAACAAAGATTACAACTCCATGAACATCAACAGAATGAATCTACCAGGCAAGGCAAGAAATTACAGAGGAGGAATAAAGGGAGCCAACAGGAAAATAACATAACAAGAATATGTATCAGTTATAACCATCAATGTTAATGGTCTCAATTCACCAGTCAAAAGAAACAGACTGGCAGAATGGATAAAGAAGCAAGATCTAACAATATGCTGCATACAAGAAACACATTTAATTAAAAAAGAAATTCATAGACTGCAAGTCAAAGGGTGGAAAGCAATACACCATGTGAATGGAACCCAGAAAAAAGCAGCTATTCTATTTGCAGACAAAGTGCATTTCAAGCCAAGACTGATTAAGAGAGACAAAGAAGATCACTACATCCCTGTAAAGGGAACAATACAAAAGGAAGATATAAATATATATGCACCAAATATCAGTGCATGCAACTATATAAAACAAATATTAACAGACACAAAAAAATAAGCACTAATACCCCACTGTCATAAATAGATCAACTAGACAAAAAACCAATAGTGAAACATTAGAACTGGACCAAACTTTTGAACAAGTGGTCTTAATAGATGTCTACAGAGTGTTTCACCCCACATCAGAATCCACATTCTTCTCAGTTGCACATGGGATGTTCTCCAAAATAGACCATATATTTGCTCATAGACCATGCTTAAGTAAATGCAAAGGAATTGCTAGGGGTGGTAGTGCATGTCTGTAATCCCAGCACTCAGGAAGCTGAGATAAGAGGATTGCTGTGAGTTCAAGGCCAGTGTGGGGTACAAAGTGAGTTCAAGGCCAGTCTGAACTACATAGCAAAACCCTGTCTCAAAAAACAAAACAAAAAAATGCAGGGCTGGGGATTTATCCTAGTGGTTCCACTACCTATCTCACAAGTGCAAGGTCCCCAGTACCTAAAAAAAGAAAAAAAGCAAAGGAATTGGAATTATCCCATGCATGTTATTATCAGACCATAGTGCAACGAAGTTGGAAATCAACGGTAGAAGAAACCACAAGAACTCCATAAACACATGGAAATTAAATAACACCCTTCTGAACAAACAGTAGGTCACAGATGAAATTAAAGAAGAAATTACACAGTTTTTAAAATTAAATGATAATGGCAATACAGCATACTAGAACTTATGGGACACAATGAAAGCAGACCTATGAGGGGAATTTATAGCAGTGAATACCCACATCAGAAAAACAGTGAGCTCAAGTAGCCTAAAGTTGAACCTCAAGTTTCTAGAAAAAGAAGAGCAAGTCAAGCACAAAGGTCATACAAGGGAGGAAATTTTATAATTTCACAGCAGAAATTAATGGAGAGCAAGAAAACAACACAATCAGTGAATCAGAGTGGATTCTTTGAAAGATTAAAAACTAGGATATAATTGGACGAGTTGATGTGAATAATGCTCAGGTAACCAGCTCTGGCACACCGTTTTTTTTTCTCTCCTCTCCCTCCCCCCTTCTCCCTCCCTCTCCTTCAAGGCCACACACAAGCTAGGCAAATGCTTTGTCACTGACCTCGTCCCAGACCTTTACTTGGCTGGCCTGGAACTTCCACTTCTCTTGCCTCAATGCGTCACCAAACCTGGCTTATAAAGGAATTGAGACTGACTTCATTGTAACAATGCCTTGAAAGCCTTCTCGAGAAAACTGACCCAGCTCCTGGCTTACAGGGTGGTGAAGAGGGTCATTCCCTGCAGGACCAGGAATTTTGAGATATTTGGAGGACCAGAAGAGTGCTGAGTGATGAAATATACAAATAGGCAGTGGCTGGTCCATGTATAAAAGAGCTCTGACTCATGGCCTGTCCAGCCAGCCTGAGAATCTACCCTTAGCTACATAAGCAACCAGGAAGCCAGATGGCTTCTTTAGTAACTGTCCTTGAGGCTAGAGTCACTTCTTTAACCATGGCCCCAAGTGGCCAGGATTCCATCAAGAACTGACAACTACTCTAACTTGTGTCCCTGCTTCTAACCTGGGGCCAACCAGCGAGAACGAGATGTGCCTCTCATCTCTCATCGCCTGCTTCCTGTTGCTGCCTATAGCTTCCCGTCTGGCAGCCCCCACTGGCACTCTGCAGCTCTCCCTTTGCCTGCCTCGAGTCGCTATCATGTTGTGGCATCTGCAGGGCTGACCCCACACACACAGCCAGCTCAGGGTGAGCTGCCCCAGCCTTCTCTCTTGGTTGCCTTCATTTGTTCCACGGAGGAATCCTGCAAACTTTTAGAGGGACTTGGTGAAACCGGCGGGCTTTCCTCCTTTGGGGTAGCAGGTAACAGGCTTCTAAAAGTCCGCTATTTTTCAGCAGGACGTGGTATACACACCTATAATCCCAGCTCATGAGAGGCTGAAGCAGGGAGATCACTGCAAGTTCGAGTCCATCCTGGGCTACATAGTGAGTTCAAGGCCAATCTGAACTACATAGTGAGACCCTAAAGGCCAGTAATTTTCATTTGCATTTGTGGCCTTGGTAGCTGGTCTGTACTTCACAGTTCTGTGTTTGCAAACGAAACATAAGGAGGCTGAGCAGATGAACACTCTTGCTGTACCCATAGAAATTATCAAATTGAGTCTAGCCCTTTTGTTTGTTTGTTTCAGGTACCAGGGATTGAACTCAGGTCCTTGTGCTTGCAAGGCAGGCGGCAGAACCACTGAGCTAAATCCCGGGCCTGAGACTAGCCCTTTTAATCTACCTACTTATCATGCTGGAGAACTGGACTTAGGGCCTTGTACATGCTAAGTACGCGCTCTGCTACTCAGCTTTACCCCAGCCCTTTTAAAAAATTTGGTTTTTGTTTTGCATTGGTGGTGGGGGTTGAACCCAGGGCTTTACACATGCTGAGCACCCACACTGCCAGTGAACTGTAGCTACAGCCCTGCAGTTTGGTATTCTGACCACTGTGTCCTTTCTTGCTTTTCGTTGCCTTTGAGCTGGCTTTGAGTGCTTGGTGTTTGGGTGGAAGCCCGGGCCTCACACACGCAGGCGCGCTCTGCCATGGAGCTGTACTTCCATCCTAAGTCGACTTTTTTGCCGCCTGTAGGATAGGACATACAATACTTGTCTTTCTGTGTCTGATTTGTTTCACTTTACAGTTATCCTCTAATTTCACCCACTTTACTGAAAAAAAGATAAAGAGTATCATTCATTCATCCATTGATGGGCACCTAGGTTATTCCGCGTCGTGTTGTAGCTGTTGTGAATAGTGCTGCAGGAAACATGGGTGTCCAGGTGTCTCTTGTGTGCCGATCTCATCTCCCTTGGATAAATACCCAGAAGTGGGTAGCTGGATCTTACAGTAGTTCTGTTCTTAGGGTTGTTTTTTGTTTGTTTGTTTGTTTTTTACCTGTACTGGTAATTGAACTCAGGACCTTGCACTTGCCAGGCAGGTACAGCACCACTGAGCTATACCCCCGGCCCTGTTTATGTTTTTGAGGCTTCTCCATTCTGCCCTCCATGGTGGCCATATTACTTTGAGTTGTGTGGAAAAAGTTTTTAACTTAATCTGCATTTGGCTTTTGTCCAGTCAGTTCTTTATGATGGATTATTTAAGTTGGCTTATGTGTCATGGAAATCTTTTGTGTAATTGTCAAATTGTGTATGTGTTTGTGTGTGTGCGTGTGTGTGTGTGTGTGTGTGTGTGTGTAGTTGTAGAGATTGAACCCAGGTCCACTGAGCTATATTTCTAGCCACCACCCCCTCTTTATACGTTATTTTTTAAATTATGAGATAAACCGGGTGTGGTGACACACACCTGTAATCCCAGCACTCAGGAGGCTGAGGAAAGAGGATCACTGTGAGTTCGAGACCAACCTGGGCTACAGAGTGAGTTCCAGGTCAGTCGCAACTACATAGTGAGACCCTGTCTCAAAAAACCAAAAATAAATACATATGAAATAAAATCTTACTAAATTGCCCAGTCTGGGCTCAAACTCATCATCTTCCTGTCTTAGCCTCACAGAGTTCTGGGATTACAGGCGTGCACCACCATGCTGGGCTAAGTACATTCTTCATAATCATTTTACAGAAGGTATACATTAACTATTTTTCTTACCTGCCCTTTGAAGCCACATGACCTGGTAGAGGGAACTCACCTGCTCCTTCCTACATATCACTAACTGGTTCTATGGCCTCAAAAAATTACCCTAAACTACACTTTGCCTGCCTGCTCAGCATTGTTGGGTAGAATAACAGAAATCATAAAGCTCACTAAAGAAATGAGTTGTCTTTGTTGTTGAAAGGAGGGAATGAGTGTGATAGTAGTCATGATAATATTAAGACAAATTTCCTAAAAACTTTTAGATATGCTTTATTTATTTATTATTTTTGGTACTGGGGATCAAACTCAGGTCCTTGTGCTTGCGAGGCAGGCGGTGGAACCACTGAGCTAAACCCTGGGCCCTTTAGATATGCTTTTTATTAACTGAATTTGTTCTTACAGTAAAGTTACTAAGGTAGGTATGTCAGTCAGACTGTGCAGGACTGGCCAGGGGGGCACCGAGGGACCCGGCAGTCTCTGGACTGAGGAAAACACCAGCGCCTGCTCTCCGGGTTCTGTGTCAAAGGGGAGAGCAAGGACCCAGGCTGAGCACTGCTGGAGCTGGCTAGGCAGGGCGCTGGGGACCTCAGCGGCTCCTGCCAGCCTTCTCCCTCCTCCCTAGGGGGCACACACTGGTGTCCCTGCATGCTGAACCACCTCCCCCTGTCTTCTTCCAGGCTGCCAACGTGCTGCACCTGTGAGCCAGAGGAGAGTTGGAGCTCTGCTGCCAGTACCATGGACACCACGGTCAGTGCTGGGTTCTTTCAGAGGAGTGGCTCGGGAGGGAGGGCAAGGCGAGGGCCAGCTTGTTCCTTGAATGTGTGTGGTCTGTGCTGGTCAGCCTAGCGCTACCTGACAGCTCTGCAGTGTGACAGCTCCAGAGTCCACAGAATCCCATTGTCTGAGTCCCTGACGGTGTCGCACCCCTGCACCAGGAAGGGTCTTGGGTGAGGGTATGGAGTCACCTTCTGGCAGGATGGCAGGGCTGTGGTTTTTAGCCTGGAAGCTGGAGGGGAAGATGTGTGGTTTGGGGGCTGCCGGGCACCTGAGCAGCAGAGATATCAGGAGCTCCCATGCACTCCTGCCATGGAGAGCAGCATCCGTCCAGGCCTCTGTCCCTCCCCTCCCACCACAGCTGCTTCCGTGCCTTTGTTCTTGAGGTGCATGCCACTCAGAAGCAGCACTGCCACACCTTCCTCGCAGAGCAGTTGGGGACAGAGGGAGGCCCTTTCCCTCAGGTGGCCCAGCCTCTCTGTGTGTGGCGTGGTGGGGAGCATGATTGCACTCACCTTCAGGGTGAGAAAGAAAGGCCCTGAGATTAGGCTGCTGGCCTAGGTCCCATGGAGTTGGCTTCCTGCTGCTCAGGAGCAGTTTTCTCTAATGTTTTTCCCCATCAGAACTGTTGTCCTAAACTGGACACAGCAAGGTGGCACACACCTGTGATCCCAGCACCAAGGAGGCCGAGGCAAGATGATCACAAGTCTAGGCTATATAGCAAGAACCTGTCTCAAAACAAAACAAAAATGCAATTTTCATTGTATCATAGATATTACAGCTTTCTTATATTTTTATATTTATATGTCTTATATTTGTCTATAATTTTAATAAAGTTTTGTAAAATACGTATAACATAAGAGTCACCATTTTGAGCTGGGGGTGCAGCTCAGTGGTAAAGCATTTGCCTAGCATGTGTGAGGCCCTGGATTCCATCCCCAGTGCTGCCCCCCAAAAAAGAAAGGAAAAAAGAGAAAAGATTTACTACTTACCCACTTTGAAGTACAAAATCCAAGGGCTTTAAATGCATGCGTGTGGTCAAAGGCATAGGTGTCACTACATTCCTCAGAGCTTTTCATCTGGCTCAGCTGAAACTGTCCCCTGCCATTCGGCAATGCCACTCCACTTCCTGTCTCCGTGGAATTGCCCTGGTGGGCCTCATGTAAGTCAGTATTTGTTATTCTGTGGCTGGCTTATTTTACTCAGCATACTGTTCTCAAGGTTCATCCACGTGATAGCTCGCTCACTTGCTCTGCCTTTCTCCTTTACTATTTGGATAAAATAGAGTGAGAGTGTTTCATTTTTGCTGTTGTTGGGTGCTCTTTGCCAGGTTTGGGTACCAAGGTGAATTACTCCAGTTTATCAAACACATTGGGAAAAACCCATATTGGGTGGTTTCCATCTTTTTCTCTGCATTGTAATTGATTTTGTATTATGAGAATTATTGTTGCCTCTTTTATATCAGTTTTATGATGTGTCCAGAAAAATTTCCTGTCTTGTTTCTCTCAATATATTTTCCCCTGTGATCTAAAAAGACACATATGTGCGCACCTGGCAAGTGCAAGGTCCTGAGTGTGATCCCTGGAACCGAAGGAGAAAAAAGTTCTACCTAAAAAGACAAATAACTATCAAATCTTTCTTCTTCTGAGGTGTTCACTTCAACTTTTTGTCACTAGAAGATCAAATAAGGGCCTAGGTTCACACTCAGCCTCTCCAAAGCATGCTTCACTCTCGGAATGAAATACTCCCCAGCTCCAGGGCCACTTCCGGTGGGGTGGTCTGTGCTGTCCATGCATGGCCTCTGCTTTCCCATTGGCGTCTGCTGAACCCTTCTGGACCTCTCCTCCTCTCTCACTGGCATCCTTCTCTTTCCTTCCAGCCACCTTTTGTTCTTTTTATTTTATGTGGAAAAAAAGATCCCTGAACTTGTGTTGCATAATGGTGTACAGCCCAGCTGGGGCAGTTGCAGCTCCACATCCCAGCTTTGGAAACCTGCCTGCCGACCCTGCACTGGAAGGAAGTTCTGGGGCGAAGACCTAGGGCTGCTGGAGCGAAGAAGCACCAACTGCATGGCTTTAAAAACAGGGACTTAGGTTGGGGCCTGAGGCCTGATGTCAGGGCATCAGCCTGAGGCTCTGTGGGAGGTCTGTTCCCTGTGTCTTCCCTTTGGGCTTGGTGCCTCCTGGCCTGGAATGTGTCACTCTTGTTTCAGCTGTCTTCTCGTGGCATTGCCCTAGGTGCCCCTGAGCGTAGAGCTCCCTCTCCTCTCTTACATGGATGCCAGCCGTAGGATTTAGGACTTGTTCTAATGAAGTTAAGGTTCTTAACTTGATTACATCTGCAAAGACACTTTTCAAAGAAGATCCCATTTATGGGTACTTTGGGTTAGGACTTGCATCTTTTTGGGGGTGCACAACTCAACCCATAACACTGCCCCAGTCCGACCAGCTGTGTCCATGGGGCAGAAATGAGTATGTCCGAGTTGCTCAGCTGTGCCCTGTGCCTCATGTAGGAATTGTAATGATTGGATACAGTAGAACTTTTACATGGTTTCTCCTTTTTGGGTAATTTTGAGGAAGTAAAGGCTGAAGAGCAATGTACATACCATTTTATTCTTTTACTTATTTATATATATTTTTGTACATATATAAACATATGCTAAACACAGGTTCTACCACCAAGCTACATCCCCAGTGTTTTGGTTTCTTTCTTTCTTTCTTTCTTTTTTCATTTTGGTACCAGGGATAGAACTCAGGACCTTGCATTTGCGAGGCAGGCAGTGGCACTACTGAGCTAAATCCCTGTCTATCCCCAGTATTTTGTTTAGTTAAAACTATTTACCCTGTAAAAATAATCCTCTGAAAGTTTTTTGGTTCCTCTAGTGTAAATTATTAAAGACTTAGAAGACAAAAGGACCTTTTCCCTACATGTTCATCTTCGTCCTTCTCTCACAGCCCCATGTGAGTGTTTGACATGTGTCTGTGTGGATCTTAGAAGCCCTGTCTTCCAAGCCCCGTATTTCCCTCGGCACCTGGAGCTGCTGCTGCTCCCTCTACTCACTTTGCTTGCTGACCATCCAGCCCCAGATGTGGTCAGGGGGCCAGAAATGCTCCCCCTGCTCCCCCAGCTTCTGCCTGGAACTGAGCAGGGGCTTCAGGTGCCACTTAGGGAGATGCTGATGTTGATGCTGAGCGGGAGCTGCCCTTTGGCGCTCTGGAGTTTTAAGGCCACACCCACCAGAAGTAGGCCAAGCTAGTGCAGAGGCAGGTGTTGACCTGTGGTCACCCTCCCCAGTACTTACTGAGACTCTTCTGTTTGCGCAGTCACAGAGGATGGAAAAGAAAGAGCCATTAAGCGCTAGCAGCACAGCTGACAAGGGATCTTGGCAAAAAGCATGTAAATGCAGGGATGGCATTTAAGGGATGATATTTGCTTGACTTTCCTGGACTGACCCACAGACCTGCTTAACCGATGGAAGCTCACCCCAGCCACATGCTTTCGGGAGGTCAAGCAGATCATCTCCTGCAGAACTGGAGCTTCCGGTAGCACTGCTTTAAGCTGGTGCTGCAGCCCAGACTCTGCCCACTGAGCTGTTTTCCAGGGCCCTGGGATCCACAGGATTGGCCTGCCCTTTTGGACCAGTGAGGTTCTTTCAGGGCAGCTCAGCTGCAAGGAGGTCACGTGCTGACCCAGGTTCCCAGCAGCCTCCCTGACTCCTGTTTCATCCTAGGTTGGCAATGGCGCAGGCCTCAGGGATGAGAGCATCGCGAACCTGCTGGTGTTTTCCTTCCTCCATGCCCACAACAACTGTAATTTCCACAAAGAGCTGGAGGCCCTGGGCCAGGAACTCCCTGTTGGAGTTTGCCTGGAGGCAGACCATGATGATGAGCTGCAGACGGATGGTAACAGGGCCAGCCGCCTCCTCTACGGGGGAAGGAGAGAGGGAGGTAAGCACCGGGCATGCCTCCTTAGCCCCAGATCTGAACCTTGTCATCAGTAAGGTACAGAGCCTACGGGCTGGACGGAACCTCTGGTCTCATCTCCACCCTGAAGTTTCAGGGACTGTACATGTCCATGTCCTGGGATTGTTTGGTCTGTACTTGATTGCTTCCTGTGGCTTAGAAAGGTCTTCCCTCAGGAGCCACAGTGTCCCTTCAGATGTTAGTCCTGATCGTCTATGCCAGTACAGAATAGTGTTTTTACCAGATTTCTCAATAGTCTGTACAATCAAAGACTTAGAAACCATTGGTTTGGATTATATAACTCAAAGGTGCCTCAAGCTTGGGTTTGTGTAACCCAGAGACCTAGGGAGTTTTAAAAGGTAGTGGGTGCTGGGGCCCACACCCTCACATTCTGATTTGGTTGAGTCTGGGCATTGCTGGCAAGGTCCTACCGGCAACTTGTAACACAGCCTATGCCACCTTGTGCGGGCCTAGGTGAGGTCCAGGTTTTTCATAGTAATTTTTGCATCCTGTATAGAATCTTTTTTATTTATATATATATATTGATTTGTGAATACCTATATGACAATTAGATATTGAAGTATTCTGCATCTCATTTCTAGATGACCGGCCCTAAATCCAGCTGCTGTTTGGATTTCTCCAAAGCTACACCAAGTATAATTTCCACTAAGAGGTGGGGGCCTGGGCTTAGGCCAGGTCTCTTCTGGAACTGGCTCCGTTGTTACGGGCTGGAGTGCAGCAGAACACATGGTATGAGGTGTGCCAGATAAGAGCGGCTCACCTCTCGGCAGCCAAGAAGTAGGGAGAGATGGAAAGAGCCTGGGAGGAAGGGGCTGGCCACAAGGTGTAGTCACCAAGGTCACACGCCATGACCTAATTCTTCAACGAGGCTCCACCTCCTAAGTTTTTATCACCTCCCAATTGTGCTGTCTAATTACGAAGCCATCAGTGGGTTCATCTACTGCTGAAGTTAGAGCCCTCCTGCTGCACTTGTCTTCCAGAAGCCCCACCTCTGAACACACAAATACCCAGGAAATGTACAGTGGATAGTTGAGTTTGGCTACAATGTATGAAGGCAGTTGAAGAAGTTGTCAAAGGGAATTGGAGCTTAGGGCATAGCATAAACCATAGCGATGAAGAACTTTTTTTGTGTGTGTGGTAAAGAACTGAACTCAGAACCTTGTGCTTGTCAGGCAGGCTCAGCACCACTGAGGTACATCCCCTGGCACAACGAGGAACTTTAGTTTAACACACAGAACCTGGGTCCTCTTCTAGCTGCCTGAGTCAGCATATTTTCTGGGGAAGACTCCCTAGGAGATTCTGACCTTGGTTGGAATCACTTCCCTGAATGCCCACAGTGATTCAGAGGACCTGGCCCCAGGCTTCCCACCTCACCAGCCAGCCTTGGTCTCCTGCCCAGGCCTGCTGCCCACATCTGCACAGAGGTTGCACTGCCCTCTGGTGGTCGTGGGGAGAGCAATAGCTGGTCCTGCCTTTGGCCCCAGTGAATGACGATGTGCCTGACACTCCCCACTACCTTGGTGTACCAAAGACAAAGACTTCCTCTGCCTTTGAATTCAGCCAGCATATCTTTTCCCCAGTCCTAGACTAAATGAAAACACCTGGTCCCCTTTGAGAAGGGCCTCGCAGAAGGCACGGGCAGGGAGGCTCTGGTGTCAGGAACTTCTGCAGCAATGACTGGCCAGAGTCCTCGCCTGCATGTTTCTCGTTCAGTCTCTGCACTGCTCTCTGTCTTTAGGCTGCGGAGCCTGGCTTGGCTTGACCAGTAGCATTTGTGCAAGTGATTATAGGGCTGTACACGTAACCTTCCAGCCCTCTGTTGGCATGTAGATTAAATACCTGCTGAGACTTGGGTGCAAGAGGCAGAACAGAGGCTCTGGCTGCCTGGGCACAGATGAATCCGGTGTGATTGCCAATGTCCCTGAGCAGGTGCCGAAGGGAAGGGAGGACATAAATGTAAGTCACTGGAATAAGGTGGGAAGGCTTTGGTAGATGAGGGGGGCGCAGGGCAGTACTGAGGGAGCTGTGAGGAGGAGGGGTGCTTGTTGCTCTGTAGGGAATCAGGAAAAGGGTTCTGGCTGCAGTGCTGTTGAGCTGGACCTTGGAGGGTGGTACAGTACTGTTCTCTGAGAAGAGAGAATGGCTGTCATGTGGCACACCCAAGGATAGGAAGGCCCAGAGCCAGAAAAGGTACAGTGGATAATTGAATTGGCTAGAATGTGTGAAGGCAGTGAAGTTAAGCAAAGGGAATTAGAGCTTAGGGCGTGACTTGTCACTTAAGCAGAAATGAGCCTCTGGAAGGTTCAAGGTAGAACAGTCATGTAGTATCCAGCTGCAAGTGTCAGGGTGCAGTCCTGTGGCAGAGCATTTGCCTGGCCTCCACAAGGCCTAGATCCCATCCCCAGCATCGCAAAAAAGCAAAAAGCCTACTGAAACTGTAGTACACTGCTGAGCATGGTGGTGTACACCTGTAATCCCTGCACTTGGGAGGCTGAGGCGGGAGAATCTCTGGGAGTTCAAGGCCAGCCTGGGCTCACGGTGGGTTCAAGCACAGCCTGAACTACATAGTGAGACCCTGTGTCAAACAAACGAACAAAATTAAGCTGCAGTGAAATGAGACACCAGAGGATAGGATTTAAGGAGGTCCTCAATACGAAGTCCAAGCAATCACTCTTCTTCCTGCCTCCTGAAGTTGCCCTTGCAGGCTTCAACTTGGGATCCTTTTGCCTCAGCCTCCCAAGCAGCTGGGATTACAAGTGTGCACCGTTGTGCCTTGGCTCCATGCATTAAGTGCTAAGTATCTGCCAGTAAGTCAAAGAGATTGAAGCTTTTCGGAAGGTTATATTTAGGCAGGGGTGACAGGCAGCAGAAATAGGTAAAATATATAGTAAGTGTCCAGGAAAAATAAAGAGGAGAAAGGGCTGAGTGAACGAGGTGAGGCAGGGGCAGGTGGGCGGCACTCAGGCAGCCTGCGGAGAGGAGTAAATGGGAGTCATGGCAAGGTGGAGGCAGAACAGACGGGGCCCGGGGGTGCGGAAGAAGCTTGGGGTCTCAGTGAGAGAGACCGGCCTGGGGAGAAGAGTGTGCTCTGCCACTACCCGCTGAGGTTGGGAGGACACTGCAAGGCCTTGTGCCGAGGGAGTGGTGGAGTAGGACTGAGGCAGCTACCTGCAGCACCTTTGCCGATGGCTCTGGAGCCCAGTGCCCGTTAGGTGCTGGGACATAAACTCGACAGCTGTGAAGGCCACTGCCATACTCATCCCCAGGCCGCGCACTCAGGCCCATTCCTGCCACCCCATGCCACAGCCTGAGGCTCGGAGAGCACAGCTGGGGCAGGCTGTGGAGCTGGTCTTGCTCCAAACTGATTTTAGGAGGGACTACGATGGGATACAGGTGTCAAACAGGGTCATTTTTCTGAATCTTCTTGGTCTCTGCTGCCCTCTGCCTGAATATTCAGATTCTGAAAATCAAGAAGTAATTCACAGTATTGCCTGTCATCTCGCGGAAATTGGGGATGAGTTGGACCGCAGCATCCATCCCGGACTGGTGAGCCAGCTGGCCATGCACTTCAGGAACCCGAGTCTGTCAGAGGAGGTCAGTGACGGGCAGGACTCCCTGGCAGGTCTGGGTGCTTGGGAAGGGCGAGGACTTTCTCCTCTGTTAGTTGAGCCAACAAAGCCTGTCCTCTGTCTCTTGCCAGTGTCTTGTGAGGTGACCCCTTCCTGACACTCCCTCTGGAGCTTTGACAGGAGGCCTGGGAATGAGAGCATGGAGTTAGCTGAGATTTAGGAAACTTGCATCATAGTCGGGATCCAGAGCTTAAGGATAAAAGTCTCCAGAAAGACGAGTGGAGTGTATCTGACTCTTCCAGAAATAACTTATTCTTCTGTTCTGGGGGGTCAGAGACACCAGCAGAGAACTTTTTTTTTTAATTAATTTTATTGAGTTTATTGGTACATTTTAGGGATACAGTACAGTTACATAGAGTTAGCTGAGATAGGAAACTTGCATCATAGTCGGGATCCAGAGCTTAAGGATAAAAGTCTCCAGAAAGACGAGTGGAGTGTATCTGACTCTTCCAGAAATAACTTATTCTTCTGTTCTGGGGGGTCAGAGACACCAGCAGAGAACTTTTTTTTTTAATTAATTTTATTGAGTTTATTGGTACATTTTAGGGATACAGTACAGTTACATTCATTGTTGGGATCTTGTACCTCTACATGACAAGTCTTGATTCTCATTTT